GGATTCTCAAGTTGGAGAAGTCTTTCTTTGTGCCTACCCAATATTTTATCCACTTGGGTGTATTTTTCAACACCCACCTCAGTCGGGCCCATCCTTCTCCACTTCCTCTTTGTTCGATGGAACTTTCAGTTCTCCATGCCCTTGCTGCTCCTTCTCTTTCTGCATGAGGTTCTATTACTTTTGGAGACTTGATCTTAAATGGAAGCCCTTATCTCCTTAGGTCAAAAACATATTCATTTCCTTTAGTGGACTCTGCACAGCTAATGAAATCTTGCTTGAAATCACTTGGACTCCCTAATTTCCCTTTCTCCTTCCCTTATAGATGATTTGCATTGGTGACTGAACAAGTACAACATGATGGTGGAGTACTGCTTCCTCCACCTTGTCCAGATTTGTAACTGCTCACAGGTGCTTTTCTCCATGGTTGGGGGACATGGATCAATCAGCAGGAGGCTTCCAGACATTGGTCCTCAATAGAAAAGTCTTACCATATCAACATCTTAGAACTTCAGATTGTACGACATGCTTGGGATCATTTTCTTCGTGTTGTACAGAACCAACTCATCATGATCTAATCAGACATTTCATAGTTGTGGCTTATATCATTCACCAAGGGAGCACCTGTTCCCTTTGTGGTCAAACATTAGAACTCCTTTATTGTGCCCACATAATGTGTAATCGTCTTCTTTCAGGTCATGTTCTGGATGCTTTCAACCTTGTGGTGGATCGACTTTCTAGACCTGACAACATTTATCCCACAGAGTAGTCTCTCGACCCTCAGGTTTTCAGGTGGCTATGCAATCAATAGGGGACTCCTCATCTGGATGCTGTTGCCACTTTCCTAAACACCTAGTTACCTCATTTTTGATCTATAATTCCTCATCTTCAGGTCCTGACTGTAGGTGCTTTCAGTTAGGACTGGACTAACCAGTTCCTTTATGTTTACCTTCCCAGGGTGATTTTGGTCATCCATATCACACTGTGTCAGGTCCTTCTGACTGCTCCTTACTGAGTGGCACAACCTCGATTTCCTCCTCTCATTCAACTCCAAACTAAACCCACATTGCCTCTTCCTCTCACTCTATCTGTACTCAATCAACCTCAGTTACCGGTTCTTCATCCCACCCTTCACATCTGGTATTTACCAGGTATCTGGCAAAGTGTTCCAATTGTCTAGGTGTGTCTCCTTTCTTTTAGCTCGGACCATTAGACCTTCCTCTCTAGTAGTTTATCATCATAAATGGAACATGTTCTGCTGTTGGTCTTTGAATCAGGATTTTTCCCCTTCTCAGCCCATGGTTCCTCATGTTACTGATTTCCTCAACTGGCTGTTCGATAATGGGGCTTCTGTCTTTTCTATAGCTGGTTATCGAACTGCCCTATCCAACACCTTCCATTTTTCCTGGTACCATTTAGTGTTTTCCTCTCCTACCATCTCCCTTTTATTGGATTCCTTCTGGAAACGTAAGCCTCCTCGTTGGGCTGATCTTCTGGATTGGAATGTCAGTGTTTGAACCTTTATCTTCATGTTCCATGTTTCACCTATCCCATAAGACTCATTTCTTACTCCTTTTAGCCTGTGGGCATCATTGGTCTAATATCTTTGCCATCAACATTTTACATATTATATTTCATTCTACATATTTTCTCTTTTATCATATCAATTGTTCCTACCCACAACTTCAACAGCTTATGGGGGACATTGTTTCTTCTTGATATCACTTTCATCTGTATCCCATCTTTATTCCTGGTCTGATCCTCATGTTCCATGTTTCACCTATCCCTTAAGACTTATTTCCTACTCCTTTTAGCCTGTGGGCATCATTGGTCTGATATCTTTGCCATCAACATTTTATGTATTCTATTTCATTCTCCATATTTTCTCTTTTATCAGATCAATTGTTCCTACCCAGAACTTCAGCAGCTGATGAGAGACATTGTTCTTTCTTGCCAATTTCCCACCTTTATTCCTTGGCCTGATTCAGATAGACTTCTTTGTCCTGTATGTGCTCTTCATTGTTACATTCCCTGCACAGCCTCCTTCCATGGTTTTTGTTCCTGCCTTTTCATCCCCTAGCAACAATCCTCTGTACATGACCTCTCTTCTTTTACCCTTACAACTGATTCATTTGACATATTCCTTCTTGTCTCTTTCTTCCCGAACTCTGTTCCAGGTGTCATCACATCAAATTGGGCACCTTACCTTTTCCCTGGCATCTCGCCTCCATCATCCAATAGAGGAAACTCTTCCAGTCGGATATGTGGATTACACCACATGCATTCATCTCCCACTATCTTTATACAGTGGCTGTTTCTTCTTCATCAGGGTACCACCTTCTGCCTGTTGCCATCCTTCAATTTTGGTGCAGCTGTGACTGTGGAAGTTATCTTTTCTCTATATTTTTTTCTTTCCAAAGGCATATCCCTTTTAGTTTCAGGATCATGCTTAATGGTGAGCATTGCCTGTTCGGTATGCTGTATATTTCTCAAATCTGCACTGTACAGCTAAGATGTAAACTCATAGCCAGTAATACACACCTTCAAGCTGTGGTGTTCAACAGGATCACTAGTAGGTTTTTCTCGCAATATGTTTGCTTCATAAATATGCCCATTCTGGACCGTACTAATCCTGGACTTACATGGGTAAAGCAGAAAGGGACAGCTGCCCTACCCTACCATCCCTTCAATTGAATATATCAGGGGCAGTCTGCTTTTCAGAATAGGATTTTTGTGGTAACCCATTGCACTGTCTTTGGTGTCTGCATTCCTCCAGACTCCCTTGTTCTCTTAGTGGAGTACAGGAGTCCTTGCCACTTTCCAGTTCCAAGCTGATGGGGTGGTGGACCATGGAAGAGACCTCCTGAATGTAATCACTTCCATTCAGTATAGATTAAGGTGGTGGTGTTCTGTTGGTGTAGATGGCATTCAGTCCTCCAATCATGAGCTCCACCTCTATGCAGTGAGTCCCAGAGATTGATGTTGTGCCAAATTTCTGTATATTTCTATCCAGAGGGTGAGATTGCATATATTTTCTAGAAGTAATCCATTTTTGTGCAGTGGGGCCTGGGGATGGCATTGCATTTCAACTTCTGTGCAGTCCTATCCAGGGGATGATGTTGAGCCCAGTTTCTGTGTGGTTCTATCCATAGGATTAGGTTGTGTATCTCTTACAGAAGTGATCCACTCCAGAGGTTGATGTTGTGTTTCAGCTTTTGTGCAGTCCTTTCTGGAAGATGATGTTGGTTTGGGGTAAATCTGTTACATTGCAGCCCCCCCCCCCATCTGATTAGGATCTCTTGTCCTACCATCACCTCTGTGTCAGTCCCCACTGAGTGGTTTGGGATTAGAGCTGAAACAATCACCATAAATTCTCACACATGTGTTGGTTGAGTTTTCTCGTCCTCCCCACCTCCATGCAGTTGGTCTCAGAGGTTGATGTTGCATGCACATGAATCTTTGGTGACAAAATTTGTGAGTTTCAAGTAAACAAATTTCAGTATAGACCAGCACTGGAGCTGTTTTAAACATTCAAACACCAATTCTGAACTTTGTTATATTGTCTCTTCAAGTGGTACATTGGTATACAAAGACTCTGTATCAATACTTGTACAATGCACATCATTGTTGAATTTGAGTTGTTGTATTTTTTTAGGAAAATTCAAAACTTTTTTTTCAGGATGTATTCATCTGTGGTAAATGTTTTTTGTTTTTTAAATTCCACCATAAGATCATTCAAGGTATGATTACAAGTTTCAATATTAGACACAATTGGTCTTAAGGGACATCCTTCTTCATAAACTCACGGCAGTCCATAAAAAATACCAGAATGACTAACTGATGGTCTAATTTTCAAATATTATTTTCCATTATGAACATTTTCTCTTTTTAATTTCACAAAAACCTCTGTAATCCACCCTTCTCAGTAGGATCATGATTCAGTTTTGCAAATTTAGTGCTATTACAAACAATTTCTTCATCATTTTTTAGTTAATAATCCTTATCCAAAATTACAACACTATTATTCATATCTGATTTAGAAATGACAATACTTTTATTTTTGCTTAAATTTCTTAGTGGTTTAAGTTCTTCAGCATTTAAACTAGAAAAATGTTTATATTCATTATGATAATTATTAAACAACCGAGAGCTATACCATTTATTTGAGTTCTAATATTACTAAAACTTTGGCTCGAATTATTCCAAATCATTTTATCTGATAATGTTTCTAAAAACTTCAAATTAAATAAAATAATCCTCAAATTTAAATTTATTAGGAATACTAAATGTTAAACCCTGAGCTAATACTTTTTTTCTCAGTGTCATTCAGAACATATTTAGAAAAATTAACTATCACATGATCAGGTTTCTCCAAGTCCATATAGTGTTAGGGTAGAACAAATAACATGAAATATAAAGTTTTACTGAAAAACCATATTCATTTATGAGGTTCTAGAGGTTATGTGAATGATATTTGAAAACTGTAAGATGAAGAAAGTATTTTTTTCTTGATATGGAAAACACCTTGTAAATCTTTAGTAAAAAACTTAATTCTGATTTTATGTGTACAGAAGACTTGTTTACTAAAAGCTTGCCAAATTTCATGAAGATAACACTTACAACATTAAAAATTATAGTATATGTGCACTTTCATGGTTAACTGATGACTCAAAATAATTTATCTCAGATCATAGTCTGTGAATCAGTAGACTCTTTTATATGGAAGCTTCTTTCATCATTGGTCTTAGCTAGAATCTTAAACAAACTGTCTTTCCAAAAAGGAAACTAATAACACATAAAATAACTTGAACTTCAGCTCACCTTCCAAATCTAGTGTAGTTGAATATGTTCTATGAGGTTGTGATATAGTCATCACATCCAGTTTGATGTTGAGTGAGCAGGTAGGTTACCTACCTGGTGGCTGTAAGGTCAGTGAAAATGAACAAGCCCATATAGAGAGACTTAATATTAATTTCACTATATTTTTATTAACTACTTTTCAGATAGAAATCACCTTACATATGAACTTGATTATTCTATGGACCTACTGATTGCTTTGGAAATGTCTCGTCTACAGATGATTGAAGATATGAACAGGGTTCAACTCTCTAGGACTGAAAGTACTGTCAAGTAAGTTAATAAAGTAATTAACCTAAATTATGGCATGTGCACAATATTTGCTTTTTATTATAAGTTATATATGTTATACAAACAAATATACCTTTCCTCCCTTCACAAACAAATATTTGTTTCCTTCCAAGGAAGGTCAGAAGAGCTATCTACAAACATTATGCTCATATGTAGTTAAGTGTAACAGCTACATACATTGCTTGATAAAATATTTTCTATTAAAATAAGTTGCAACCCTTTAGTCTTC